CGAAAAGGGGGGCAGTGGCTGGCATGGCGGCAGGCGGTGGGCGAGCGACAGTTAGAAGCAACAGGTGGTGGCAACGGAGGTGGCGACGGACTACATTTTACCGATAACATTTTACATTGTAATTCAAATTCGGTCAAATTGGCTGAATACTAAATTGAGATAAAATGAACTAAGGAGTGAACTTTAAATTTTCTGAAACTTTACGTTGTACTAATACTTCTTCATACCAAATACATAATTTCCTCTAATCCCTGTAAATAAATTACAGTACACTACAAATCCTTCCATCCAAACAACCCCCGAGCAAGTTGTAATGTATCCAAATTTATTCATGGCCCACACTAGAATCATACTAATAAGAATGGCTACATAAGATGATGTAATCTTTTTTTGTGTGGAATAAATATCCTCTAAGGAGTTCTAATAAAAAAAAAAAGAAAGAATGGCTACAAGACAAAAGTGAGGAGATGAGAAAAACTTTATGAATTAATTAGACTATTAGATAGCATATAATTTAAGCAACTTATTTAATGTTCTTAGTTTACTTGAAGACCCCATGTTTATAAGCTTAAGTTAAAGTATAGTGCTATAGGAAAAGTTATTTTCAAGATAATAGAGGTAAAATTATAAGATGAAGCTTAATAAGTGTTTGTTATAAAATACAAGTATGTAAATATTTAAATATAATAAAATTTATTAATTATAACTAAGAGTGTAAATTCATGTGAATTCATATGTCAATTTTACTAGGAATTCTTGAGCACCAGTAGCTTTCACAAGTTAGCAATTTATTTTGGTGACTATATTTATTAGTTTGACCTAAGTTGAATAGCTTTGGCAACCTAAACTTGTTAACAAGGCCATCAATCTCCTTAGCAACATCTATATCATTAATTAATCTATTAGAAAACTAATACACCTTAAAATCACCTATTTTTAATATACATTTAATGTTCATTTTATGCACATTTTTTATGATATTGCACTTTAAAGGAAGGCATTTTGATTTTTTTTGGTTTTAGGCACAAGAAATGGATCTTTAGAGAAAATGAGGGCAAAATGGAACAAAATGGGACAACATCATATGGCGTCATAGCGCTACCCCTTGGTGCCATAGCATTGGGTATTCGACGTGATGGGTGTCATAGAGCTAGGCCTTGGCTCCATAGCGTCAGTTATTCGACGTGATGGGCACCATAGCGCCCAAGAGTGGCGCTATAGCTCCAGAAACGATTTTTCTAGAATATGCATTGAATTTGATCAAATTTTGAAGGGGTGTCTGAAGTTGCCCTTGGTTATTTTCAGAGATCTATTAAAAGGGACCAAAGGTTGAACGAAAAGGAGAAGAGTTTTAGGGAGTTTTGGGAGAGTCTTAGAGAGTTTAGGGTGCATGAGTTCACATTTTGTGAGTCTTTGATTGTGTAAGAAGAGTTTGAGATTGCTTAAAGGAGACTTCAGGAATTGCTTGAGGAGAAGACATAAGATAAGTAATTTTTCTTTGTGTTTGAGTTTTTTTTGTTAAGACTTGGCTTTCAATACAAATCATGTGTTTTTGTTTTATCTCCATGAATT